GAGACTACAAGATCCTGAACCATGGGCTTCGGGTGAGGTGGGGAGTCCGGGTGTCATGGGTGGGCAAGAATATCTGAGAAACGGGGATCCTGGAGTTCCTAGTGATGTCCTGGGGCGGCCGGCAGGAGGACAGAGAAACGTGTTTTAAGCCAACAGTGTGGCCAAGTAGTTAAGAGCAGAGCTTTAGGAGCTAGACCCACTGGGTTCAAATTCTGCTCTTTTGCTTCCTGGTGATGTAACCCTGAGTAAGGGAGGGACTCTATCTCTTTGGGCCTCAGTTTCCTCATCACTAAAGCGGGGCCCATAATAGCACCCATTTCATAGGGAAGATCAAATGATATAATTGCACGTGAAGCCTCTAGCAAAGGGCCAGGCCCATAGTAAGTTGTGACCCATCGTATCTTTATCCACTCCTGTCCTCCATTTCCCATCCAGGTGCTGCAGCGGCTGGAGCAGAGGCGGCAGCAGGCTTCAGAGCGGGAGGCTCCGGGCCTGGAGCAGCGGCTGCAGGAAGTGAGGCAGAGCATCCTGCGGGCACAGGTGGCACACGGCCCTGGGGGTCAGGTTAACTGAGACCACATCTCTTCCCCATCTCTGTCTGATGGTGAGGGAGGGGGAGGGAGGAGATAGAGGGGGAACACATTTGGGGAGGCTCTACTCACCTCCCCAAAGCAAGCCCAGCCACAGACTTTATCCCTCTTCCCCATGCCAGGTGAGCCAGGTGAAGGGTGCTGCCCGGCTGGCCCTGCTGCAGGGGGCTGGCCTGGATGTACAGCTGTGGCTGAAGCCAGCCATGACCCAGGCGCAGGACGAGGTGGAGCAGGAGCAACGGCTCAGCGAGGCCCGGCTGTCCCAGAGGGACCTCTCTCCCGCGGTGAGCTCCTTCTGCTCCGTACCCGTACACATCCAGGAGGGTAAAACCCTCCAGCGGGGGGCAGGCCACAACACTACCTAGATCAAAGGGTTGTTCTGAAGCTTAAAGGAAATCATATTAAGTATAATTCTTTGCCTAGTTTATAGCACACTGAGTCCTCAACAAGTTTGTATTATGAATATAAGGTAGTGTTTATGAACTAAGGTCATGGGGGCAGACCGTAAGTAGTTCGAATACCAGCCAGTCACTTATTAGCTGTGTCATCCTGGAAAGTGACTTAACCTTTCTGAACCTCAGTTTTCTCATAAGTAAAAGGAGATTAATAGTTATACGAAATAACACCGTGTTACGATGAAGATTAAACGAGAGGATATACATAAGACACTTAGCACTGTGCCTGGCGCGTGGTAAGTGCCCAGGACTACAACTCTGTGGTCAGGGTCAGTGGTATCCTGCCCTGTGGTGCTTTTCTTGTGGTACTTGTTGAATGGATGAGTGATACTACCTTGGAGGAGGAGCCACGAGATTTTTAAGGGTAGGATGGAGGAGTGGGAGTTACAATGGGTACTTGAGAGTGACAGTGATGTCTGTTCTCTGTCCCCAACACCGCCAGGCTGAGGATGCTGAGTTCTCTGACTTTGAGGAATGTGAGGAGACTGGAGAGCTCTTTGAGGAGCCTGTCCCCCCAGCCCTGGCCACCAGAGCTCTCCCCTGCCCTGCACATGTGGTGTTTGGCTATCAGGTGTGAGTGGGGGTAGGGGCCTCAGACTCGTAGGGATGGGGAATAGCCAGGAGTCCTGACTCCTTTTTCGTGCAGGCAGGGCATGAGGACGAGCTGACTATCACAGAAGGCGAGTGGCTGGAGGTCCTAGAGGAGGGAGATACTGACGAATGGGTCAAGGTGGGTATGTACCCTGGGCTCTGACCTTGCAGGGTGGAGGCAGTGGGAGGAACTTCTCCCCAAGGACTCAGCCAGGCAAAGCCAGAAGCCTGAGCAGAGGAGGGGCAGGGCCGCGGACGTCACCTGTTCTCACTTGGGGTGCGCAGGCTCGGAACCAGCACGGCGAGGTAGGCTTTGTTCCTGAGCGGTACCTCAACTTCCCGGACCTCTCCTTCCCTGAGAGTGGCCACGGCAGCACCAATCCCTCAGGGGCAGAGCCCACAAGTAAGAAAGGAAAATCCCAGGTTGGGGGATGCTGGTGTGGGGAAGAGTGACTGAGTGGTTATGACCCTAAGGTGTCACGGTCCTGGGGCACCACTGTCCCCCCGCCCTCACCGTCTCCCCTGGGTTTCTGCAGCATCCCTGGCCTGTGCCCTGTACAGCTACACGGGGCAGAGCGCAGAGGAGCTGAGCTTCCCTGAGGGGGCACTCATCCGCCTGCTGCCCCGGACCCAGGACGGAGTGGATGATGGCTTCTGGAGGGGAGAGTTTGGGGGCCATGTCGGGGTCTTCCCCTCATTGCTGGTGGAGGAGCTACTTGGTCCCCCGGGGCCACTTGAGTCCTCAGACCCTGAACAGGTGAGGCTTCCTTCTTTCCGGTTCCCCGGGCACCTCTAGGTTGACCCCCCACCCCCCTGAGGCCCCATATTTACGCTAATGCTCCCTCCCCTCTCCAGGTTTACCTCCTGTAATGGCTCGAGCCTCCCCATGTCCTGGGGCTGGGTGGAGAAAAGGGAACCAAGGGCGGGCTTTCTAAGAGTTTGGCGGTGCTGCTTTAGTGCTGGACTGGTCTCAGTTCAGATTCCTATTGCATTACCTTGAGCAGTGATTTCAGCTCTTGAGCTTCTTTCTTAACATGTAAAAAGAGAAAAATACCTTCTTCAGCAGGAAAACTATCCTAAGCAGGGAGAGTGGAGGTAAAGCCTTTAGCACAGAGGCCCACGGGAGGTCCTTTAAAATACAGTACCTATCGTTATCATGAAGCAGGAAGAACATAGGAATGGGAGTCAAGGGACCCTGGCTATAGCCAGGACTCTGCCACCAGCTGGTTCTGTGCTTTCGAGTAGATGGCTTAGCCTGAGCCTCGCCCGACACAGGAATCATAAACCCCTACCTCGTGGAGTGGTGGTGAGGAATGAATGAACTCACCACCATGCATGTGCATGTGGAGTGTTAGCAAATGCCTGGGTAATAGTGCCAGTACATATTGGCTGTTGAATTGTGTTGACAGCTACAACTCCCACCCACATACAAGCATTTGGCCACTCTTGGTATTGGCAAGTGATGGGATAGGAACTGAAGATGAGATGAGAGGACAAGCTGGCGAAACCGTCCCACATGCCAGAAATAACTGTGCCCCCTTGTTTTCAGATGCTGCCATCCCCTTCTCCTCCCAGTTTCTCCCCTCCTGCACCCACTTCTGCCTTGGATGGGCCCCCTGCAACTGTCCTGCCTGGGGGTGAGTGGAGGGAACTGGGGGCCCTGGGAGGGAAGGAGGCGGGTAGAGGAGGAATCTTGGGGCTCCTGGGTCACACTTGGCTTCTCCGCCCGCCCTCGGGAGCCTCTGCTGTCAGGCTCACCGCAGTGTGACCCCGAGAAGAGCCGGGCTGCCCGCGGAGCCAGGCCGTGTTGAAACTCCACTCTCTGACTTCCTAGGGTGTGACTCGGGGTGCGGAGTTTTCCGCGTGTGTGTCTTACCAGTGCGGAGCTGCCGTGAGTTAGAAAGATGTCTGTAGGGGGCCCGGCATTGTGTCTGGCACGTAGCGTGCAAGCGGTAGCTATGTTCTCATTATTATTAAAATCAGCCAGCTTCTTCCACAGTTTTGCCAGTACATATCCTCTGCTTTTAAGTGCTTTTTTAAAAAAAGATTTTATTTATTTATCTTTAGAGGGGAAGGGAAGGAGAGAGGGAGAGAAATATCAATGTATGGTTGCCTCCTGTGTGTCCCTTGATGGGAACTGGCCTGCAACCCAGGCATGTGCCCTGACTGGGAATCGAACCTGCAATGCTTTGGTTCACAGCCAGCGCTCAATCCCCTGAGCTACACCAGCCAGGGCCTGCTTTTAAGTGTTTTTGAATCCCGCAAACACCTTGTATCATAATCTTCCTCCTTAGAGTGTTCACCTTTGCTAAAGCCTCCTAGTACCTGCAGTTTCTTCACAGAGCCTTCCTCTGTGACCCTGGAGACTCCTGTGGGCATTTTCTGCATTCTCTTCTCTGGCACCTCATTTCACCTGGAATGACTTAGCACTGAGTCACTCACGGTGCTTGTTGTGTTTCATTAGTGGGTTCCTGACAGCCACTGCAGATGGGGGCGCTGTGGATCCCAGCTCCCCTTCTCTGATACCTTGAGCAAGGGTAATTATACCACGGGTGTCCTGTAAGTGTTGGGGTTACATTAATGGATTTCACGGCCCAGGTTGTGACTATTTGTTAACTCAACAAGTATTTACAGAGTGCCACTGTCTTAAGTACTGGAGATGGAGCGGTGAACAAAACAAAGTCTGAAGAGTGACTTGTGTTTTTTGTTTCCAGACCAAGACCTGGACTGCCCTGGACCCCTGGACATGATGGCACCTCGACTCAGGCCGGTAAGAGCCTCTCCCTTGGAGAGGGGTCATTCCCCCTTGTCCGTTTTTTGTCTGTACAGCTGCAGGAATGAACAAGGATATCCCCAAGAGAGTCCTCTGGAGCCCTGACTGTGTGTTCCCTACAGGTGCGGCCACCGCCCCCCCCACCAGCTAAAGCCCTGGATCCCGACCACCCGGGTCCCCTCACCTGAAGCCAGGGGGATCACTGCCCCCGGGAATGCTGCTGCTGCCCCCGTCTCCATGCTGTCAGAGACCACACCCTTCAGTGATCTGGCGTGACGCAGCCAAAAGCTGGAATCTCCCCCATTTGTGCTCTCACCTCTAGGGGTAGAAACTTCTCTCCCCACTTCTGGGGCTGGAACTCCTTTTCTCCCCCTTTCTTTTCTGCCACCACTCCAGCTCTGGGGTGGTGAAATACCCTGAAATCTCTGGGGCTGGACCCCACCCCCCAATGTTTTGTGTGGCTCTGGCCCATCCTTGTCCCTGCCTTGGCTCTGTGACCCACCCCACTCCAAAGGCCAGGGCCACTGGGGCTGGGGCCTGGGACAGGACAGGCCTGTCAGAAGGAGCTGGAGCCAGTATGTGAAACAACTGTAATGGTCTGAGCGGATTTATTGACAGTGAATAAAGAGCACGAAGCCCAAGCCAGGGCCTGGGCCTCTTGTGCCAAGAGGGCAGGGGGCCTAAGGTGCTATTGCTTTAGGGGCCCACTCCCAGCTGCCACGCTCGAGCATATGGAGCGAGGTGATGGAGAAGGCGGGTCAGGCAGCCTGTTGGCAGGCAGGGGAGGGGGAAGACTGAGGCCCGGGGGTGGGGGTGGGGCACTTCTCCTGAGGTCCCCCAGCCTGAGACCATGCCACTCCAGGGGAAGTAGGGCTGGTCCCCCAGCTGGGGGGCAGTCCTGTCCAGTGGAGAGGAGGTGCTGCATGGCCACCCACCCCCTGTCCCTGCCAGCAATGAAGAAGGAGGCTTGGAGGAGAGGAAGGGTAACAGTGTTGCCTCCTATTCAAGCTGTACTCCAGCTTTTCCTGAGGGCTGCAGGACCTTCCCTATGCCCTATAGCATATGCCTGCTCCCCACCAACAAACCAAAGACTATGTAGCAAAGACTAAGCCTGCAGTTACCCTGGGGGTACAGGGAGCCAGCTAACGGGGCTTAAGTAGTGTAAGTAGGGGGTGGAAGGATGAGATTTTCTGACTTGGAGTCCAGGCAGACTCACCTCACACACCCCTTGCTCCCCGTGCTGGAGACACCTGAGAGGAGGGGTCAACAACGGGAGAACAGGATGTAGGTCACGTCAGTGCACCCTCATTCCCAGAGTAGGGGCAATAAGAGCTCAGCCCACCACATCCCTGGCCGCGTCTTCATACCTGGTGATCTGAGGTGTCCAGTTTGCTCGACTGTCCATTTGCCTCTTGCCTGGCCAGCCCTGGGCTCGGGCCCCTCCCTCCAGCCCCCAGTGTTGGCTCTGTAGAGGCTCCACGGTCCCCCCCAAGTGCACAAGGGACTAGGTTGCTGTCCCTGAGTCCTCCATTCTGCGCCAGGGCCTGGGGCTGTGGTCTCTCAGGGGGCAGGCTTTCCATGGCTGGCATCCCTGCTCTGGGCGGCCCTCCCCCAGGCCCCTGACCACCCCCTGGGTCCTGCCCCCCACCGGACCCCCAGCTCCTGTCCGTAGGAGAGCCATCACGGTGCTCGTGCAGCCCATAGCGCCTCTCAATGTGTGTCACTCGGAACCTGGGAGGGAAGGGAACACTGGGGCTTAGCGGCACAGCTCAGAGCCTGCTTGGCCCTTCCCCCCAACCAGGGACATCCCGAGTCTGATGGCCACTTTCTTCCCGCCTAGGGCAGGGGAGACCACCTCGTGTTGTGGGGCACATTGTGTAACCGGTTTCCGGTGGTAGGTCAGAGTCCAGGAGAAAAGAACTGGGGCTTACATTTGGAGTCAGGAGCCTGATCATTGGGACCCTCTCCTTTACCTCCCTTACCCTGGGGCACTCTATCCCCACCTGCCCACAGAAAACACGGTGGTCTCCCCAGGCCGGGAGCGGCTCTTTCCTTCCTTGGAGCGTCCCTGACGGACAAGTGGGGGCCTCTTGTTGCGGCTGCAGTGGATGCAAGGTGCTGCAGAGCCCAGGTGCACCGTGTGATGGTGGGAGGGGGCTCCATCCTGCAGGCTGGAGGTGGCATCCACACTGGACAGCAAGGAGGAAGGGAGCAGGGGTGACATTACAATTTCCTGTTCTGTTTGTCCCTGTTCTTCCAGCATGCTCCTTCAACCTCCAGGTGCCCACTTTCCCCAGGCCCAGCATTCTTTTCTTGTCTTTATCTAATAAACTCGATATTAAGATGGTAGTGATCATGTGTTCTCCCTCCAAGGGCTGTTTCCTAAAAACAGGGTGATGCTTAGACCAAAGGAGTGGCACGAAGGGTGAATGTTAGCCTTGGTGATGTCCAGATGGGAGTATAGTTTGAAGGACTTGGGGTTTCTACAAAACTTCTTTCCTCCTACAGGTTAACCCCCACCCCAGACATGCAAGGAGACTGGGAGGGGAGTGTGCTGGAGGAGAGGGTACTCTCCAAGGCAAGCTAAGTCATGCTGGCCCTTGTTTCCAGCTCACCTGGACAGCTGCACTGTCCCCTCTCCTTCACTATCCCCCAGCATCTCCTTCAAGGCCTCAGCATTGGCTGAGAGGAGAAGGAAAAGAGGGAGTCAGTGGAGGTCAGGGCAAGAGAAAGTTGTGGGGGGAGTCTACACCCACCTTCATTTTGGATGATGCAGCGAACAATCCTCTCTACTGTGTCCTCATTCATGTCATCGTCCTCAGCTGAAGGATGGAAGAGGTTGGCAAGGAATTGGGAAATGAGTCAGTTTTGGGGGACATTGCCAGGTGTCTTCTGTAGCTAATCGCTCGAGATATACCCTATACCTATTTGTCATTGTTCTGGGCATTAGTATTTCAGGGGCTGGGGCAGAAAAGATAAGGAATTCAATGAAAGCCCAACAGTACCCTTAGTGAAAGCCCAAGTGAGTGGGCCCTACCCGCCCATGGTGCCTTCTCTAGCTTTGCTTTCGGGATGGTGTCATCCCACTTGCTGACTCAAGAAAGCATCACTAGGCCTGAAGGCTTGGCCTGGGTCTGTTGGCCAGGAAGGCAGACAGAGGTGTGGGGAGAGGGGTAAGGAAGAAAGGTGACGGAACCAGGGTCTAGGCTCCTCACTCACGGGGCTGGAGCTGGGTGTCATCAGGCTCCGAGCCCCTGGATGTGCGGCAGCGGTAGCCCTTCTTCTTGAGCACGTGGCAGATCATGAAGCCTACGAGGCCCATAAGGAAGAAGACCAGCACAAGCAGGAAGAGCATGTACAGCCCATGTTGGGGTGGCTCCAGGTCAGGCTGTGGTTCCGACATGAGGCCCTGGGGGGCGAGCGCGGGCCAGGGCGCCTCCTGGGGTTAGGGGGCTGCAGCTGGGGTGGGGGGAGGGATAGGAATGCGGTCCTCAGGATCTGAAACCAGCAACCCTTGGAGGTCCGGCCCCACCCACCAGGGAGCTGTCCGGGCCTGAAGTGCTGGTCCAGGCCAGGGGTGTCAGATTGCGGCTGCGTAAGCCCTCTTCTACTACCCTGGTGCCGCTTCCCCGACGCCCACAGCTTTTCCCTTTCCAATTTGTCCTGCGCTTCCATCCCTCCCAAGGACACTGCAGAGTGAGATGGGACGGATTCTCAGGAGGCCAGAGCAAGAATCGCGTCTGAGTAAGCGCCTGCATCTCCTCTGAGCCAGTCTGAACCAGCCCTCTGCAGCCCCTCACCTGCCTGTACTCCAGAGCCCTCCCCGTCATTTCGGTTCCTCCCATCCTGACCACCTGGCCCACCCAGTACCGGTGGTTTGGTTCTGGCTCCGGCTCCGGCTCCTGCTCGGGTTCCAGCTCCAGGGGCGTCCTAGACCGGCTCAGGGGCCCCGACGCCCTCCCGGCTCTCATCCCTTGTTTCCGTCCCTTCCCCCCTTAGCCGCCTCACCGGCTCCGGGCTGCGACTGCAGATACCGGTGCCGCGGCAGGCGGGGGGTAGGGAAGGCTAGAGAGGGATGCAGGCTGGTTGGAAGCGAAGGCAAGGCTCCGGAAAACTGCTCTGGGAAAGGGGAAGAGATGGGGGGCGCCGCCGCAGCCACCCTGGGTTCCCAAATGTCTTCGCCTGTCACCACCCCAGGACCAGGGGGCGGAGCGCAGGTGTGCGGGGCAGAGAGCGCTAGGGCGGTGCGCGCGTGACTGCGCCGCCGCCGCCCTCCCGCCCTTGCCCGGAGGGAGTGTGCAGCGCCGAGTCTGGGTCCGGGTGGGATGGTTAGGCAGTGAGGCGAGTGTGCTCTCCTCTAGTCTATCCGGCACGCCTGGCGCGGCTCCTGTCCTCAGATGCCCCGGCCGGGTGGATAGCCAGGAATCTTCCCAGTGTGCCAGGGGAAGATGTCTTTCCGCATCCGAGAGGGGCTGTGTGGCCGGTTCTCTGGAGCCTCCTGGAGCGGTGACCACGGTCTGCACTCCGTTTGGGGCAGGTGACTGGACGGGATGGCTCGACTTCTAGAGGATTTGATCCCCACCCGGAAGGAAATGGCCCTCGCATCCTAGGACCGATGCTACCTGTCCCAGTCGCTTCCTCCCCAGAATCTGAAAGCGAGGCCAGGGGCCGAACCCCGCAGGGCGCGCAGTCTGGGCGTAGTGTAGGGAGGCGGGGCCTGCGCTATCCGTTCCGCAGCGGCAGGCTGCGTGCTTACGCAGCACGTACGACGAGAGGTGGGGCGGACAGGAGGCGGGCGGCCGAGGCGCGGGGCCTGGTCCCTCGGGCACCATGGCCAAAACCGTGGCCTATTTTTACGACCCAGACGTGGGCAATTTTCACTATGGTGAGGGAACAGGGTGGTACGGGAGGAGTTTAGGGACGCGGAGGTTCCGAGGGGGGCTACAGCTCCAGGGATGAGAACTGACGAACTCTCTTCCCCTCCCCTCAGGGGCTGGGCACCCTATGAAGCCCCATCGCTTGGCTCTGACCCACAGTCTGGTCCTGCACTACGGTCTCTATAAGAAGATGATCGTGAGTTCTGCCGCCTCTACTGGGTATTGAGGGTGGGGGTGAGCTGCGGCCCTAGAGCTAGGTGGGCCACACTGAATGCATCTAATGAGACCCAACCCAAGAATGGGGGTGAGGGGAGACTGGGTAGAAGGAACCAGGAGCAGCCCCCCGCCCCTATGCAGAGTGTTGGGGAGTGCTTCCACCAACTTAATGAGAATTACTCTTTCATCTTAGTAAGGTCAGCCACCCCTTGACCTCAGGTGGACTAACACTTGGCCTAGATTTAGGGTGGAGTGGGGCTGGTTTGAAGACAGAAGGTGTTTTTCCCCCTAGCATTTTAGGATGTGGGCAGTGCTTGTGTCCTCAAGGAAGGGAGAGGGGGCTGGATTACTGTATGTGTCTGGATGTGAGGTTTACCCTCAGCTTCCACCCCTTCTCTTCTAAACCAACAGGAGCAGGAGCTCCAGGGAGGACCATAGCCCTGTGTGTAAATGTGTGTGTGTGTGTGTGTGTGTGTGTGTGTGTGTGTGTGTGTGTGTGTAGGTGTAGGAGAGCAGATGTCCTGGGTATTCCCTTAACCTAGAATAAATACCCCTACATGGATAATCACTACCCAGCTCTTTATCTCCCGAATACACACATGCCATCTGTCCCCAGCTTGGAATTTGTAGCTGTGATATGTGGTTGTAACACTTAAGCTCAGTCCTCCTGTGTTGCAAGGGGAATTAGTCAACAGTATGAATGAGTGTCCACTGCTTGTGCTGAGGCACAGACAAGTGAATTGGTCATAGAAAAGATTGAGGTGATGTTAGTACATAAATCTATGAATTTCTTGAAACCCTTTTCTGAAAGGTACTGTGTACATTTTCTGGGGAGAGAAAACTTTTTGGTCTTAGTCAATTTCTAACGCATGTGTGAACCCCCTCAAAAGAGAAATCTCTGGCTTAGCATGTGGGTGCTTGGGATTTTAATTAGGAGATTGTCATACACTCTATATTATTTGATTCCAAAATGAAGAACTCAGACACAGAAAGGGCAGAATCAGAGCCCAGGGGAGGAGGTGAGTATGGAGAGAATCAGGAACAGGAGATCCGAGGAACAGGGCAGGAGGATCCAGCACATGGTTAGAGGGTAGGGAAGGCTAGGCTGGAGGTCGGAGAGATAAAGCAAACCCAGTGGTCTTTAGTGGCCTTGGTCATCCTGAACCACCTTGTTTATCAGAGCCGCTTTTCTTCACTGACCTTTGCCTCATGACAAGGATTGGGGGTAAAGGGACTGCTGGGTGTGGTTTTGGATAGTCCCCGGGGCTGGTACAGTATGGGCAGTCTCAGCCCCATAAGTGGGACCAACCCTGCCTGGGTGGGTTCACCTTGTGTTTCTATCCTGAGGTCTTCAAGCCGTACCAGGCCTCGCAGCATGACATGTGCCGCTTCCACTCTGAGGACTACATTGACTTCCTACAGAGAGTCAGCCCCACCAATATGCAAGGCTTCACCAAGAGCCTTAATGCCTTCAACGTGGGCGATGACTGGTGAGAGGACTAGGACTTTCGATGCCAGGCATTTCAAGGAGAATGCTTGAGTGAGGTCTTGCAGGCAGTAAGTGGGGAGATGATGAGTCAGTGAGTCATCATTTACTCATTGGTTTATTCAACAAATATTTATCGGTCATTTACTCTAGGCCAGGCCATGTGCCAAACACTGCAATGATCAACAACCACAGCAAAATTTTAGTATTTTAGCTGCGCTAAGTCCTGTGAAGGAGAGGCACGTGTCTGCGTCTGAGCATGTACGTGAGGGAAAATTACCCAGCTTTTTCTGGTCAGTGGAAGCATCCTAGAAGAAGCAGTGAAGATTGAGCTGAGATCTGAAGAAAGAGTAGGAGGTAATTAGGTAACAGATGGTTGGGAGGAGAAGGGGTGAGAAGAATGTCATGGACAGTAGGGACAGATGACATGTGCTGGCGTCTGTGGTAGGATGGAGGATGACTCATTTGAGGAACAGAAAAATGGCCAACCGCAGCATATGAAGAGAAGAATGATCTGAATTGAGGCTGAAGTGATGGGTAGGGCCTTTCAAAAGTAGACAGCCCTGTGATGAATTGGAGTGTTCACCCCTAGAGTAGAGGGAAGCATTCAAGGTTTTGAAAAGCAAGAGTGCGTAGATATGATAGGTTTATATGGTTGGTCTTGTACCATACCAGGAAAACTCGGAGTTCGACCCTGTGGGGAAGGGAGTGGACTAGAAAGGTAAGCCATGATCCTTGCTTACCTTCTAGTATCCATTCATGAAAATATATTGACCAGAACAGGTACTATTCACTCAATTTATTTCTTAACTTTTTATTAAGGGAAAATTTCAAACATTTCTGAAAGAATAGTACAGCAAACCCCAAACGTGTATCTGTCATGCAGCTGCAACACTGATGAGCAAATAGCCAATCTTCATCTGTCTCCCCTCACGATAGTTTTAAAACAACTCCCAGATGTCATATTCTTTTATCTGAATACTTGATGTATATCCAAATGATACTCTTTAAAAATACATAATATCGGCCCTGGCTGGTGCAGCTCAGTGGATTGAGCGCGGGCCTGCGAACCAGACAATCACGGTTCGATTCCCATTCAGGGCACATGCCTGGGTTGCAAACCAGTTCCCTGCAGGCCAGTTCCCAGCAGGGGATGCATGAAAGGCAACTATACATTGATGTTTCTCTCCCTCTCTCCTTCCCTTCCCCTCTAAAGATAAATAAATAAAATATTTTAAAAAAATACATAATATCATTATCACACCTAAAAATTATCAGTGATTCCTCAATATCATCAGATATGCAATCAGTATTCAAATTTCTCCAATTTTTTTATATTGCAGTTGATTTCTTAAACTAGGATCTAGACAAGATTCACACATTTCGTTGGTTATCTCTTAAGGCTTTTAATCTGTGACGTATCTTTCCCTTGACTTCTCGAAGAGACCAGCCTGTAGAGTTTCCTGCAACAGCTACCATTTACTGAAGGTACTCTGCTGTGCTGCTACATCTGCTTAATTCTCACACCAACCCCGAGATGGAATCGTCCTTCTCCTGGTGGTGGGTGAACTGAACTTAGAGGAGATTTTGGTAATTTAACTTGTGGCACATAACTCGTGGTCAGTGGAGGTGGCAGAATGCAGACCTGGGGCCTAGGTTTTTAGATACTACATTAATTTGTTTCCCTAAAGTATCCTACCAACAGAAGTAGCCTGGGCTGGAGAAACAGATGCCAACTCCACAGGCTGGCAATGAGTGCCCTCCATCCTTATCCTCATGCTCCTGCTGCATAGGGCCCCCCTGGAATGCCTTCCGTTTTCCCTTCATCCTCTCCAAGGCCTTACCAGCCTTCACACCACCAGGAAGTTTCACCACAAAGCCTTGACCATGCCAGCTTTAGAGGTCTGTCCTGCACACACTGTGCTGTCACTTGGTGTTCAGTCACTTGCTGCCTTGGGAGGTTACTTCATTTTTTGTTATTGCTGCTGCTGCTATTTCTGAGTTCACTTTACAGGTCTGCGAATGCAAAATCAGCCCCCGGGCCACAGCTGGGGCCCTCTGAGAGCTGTTTGAGCACTTAGGGCACAGGTGGTAAACACAAGGCCCACAGGCCGGCCCTTCGCCTTGTTTTATCTGGCCCAGCACCTTGTTTCTACCCGGCAGCAGCGCTGAGCTCTTGTTTAACTGTTAAGGAGTAGTTACATTTATACAGTCCTAAAATCACATTGCTTTGAAAGCAACCACGAGGCTGATGTGGCCCCTGGTGAAAATGAGTTTGACACCCCTGACTTAGGGCATCCTGTCTATCCCTGAGCCCTCTGTGCTGCAAATAAATATTCTGTGCTTTTATTGTTATAACTTTGAAAACTCATTTACCATTGAGCCCAATAGTATACTATGATTTAATCTTTTTCTGGTACAACTTTTTCTTCTTCTTGGAACTGGTAATTGTATTGTTTTTTCATTTGCTTACTTGTCTAGGCGTCAATCACGAGTCCTTCCCAAAGTCTTTGAAAAACTCTTAAACTCCCTACAGTTTTTTTTTTTTTTCAGATAGTGAATTGTGTCAGTGGCACTGTTTTCTTGGACCTAAAATGAAGGAGTTTTTTAAAGCATTTTCTTTTCTGAAGGTCAAGTTTATGAACGTATAATTTGCATACAGTAAAATTCACCTTTTTT